AATATGACGATAATTGACGAAGAATATCTGAAGAAGCAGAAGAAGGAAAATATGTAATGAGTCTGTTCAAATTAGAAAGGAAATAAAAGAGGCATAGCTGACTTCATCTCTCTCTCTCTCTCTCTGGCGACATCTTTTGTCTTCTTCTACTATGGATAGATCGTTTCAAGGCCAACTCTCAAGAATCTCATATTGATTGTAATCACTTAGTTGTTTATTTCATTCAAAATAGTCGATCGTCGCATGATGTATGTTAACTTGTTGTTATTTTTATTTGAATTTTTCTTCTTGGTGTCGTTCACGTATTTGTTGCTCAAATGTTGCTTGTGTACTGTTACTGTCATCAATCTAAAATTGAAATGAAATGATGACAATAATTTTTGTTTCTCTCTATACATCTATTACTTGACATCGTGAAATTCGAATATAACATTTCATAGAATCGACAAGTCGAATGGTGACATTGGTTTCTTGCTGTTGTTCATCGGGTTTCTCCACTTTGTTTTCGTTCGTTGTCGATGATGATGAAGAGAGTGACTCCTAGAAAAGAAATTACATTCAATTGTTCAATCATTCCTGTCATCTCACTTCTCCTTGAATTGTCGATTGATCTGGTAGATACCAGGGATACAATGAATCGCGCATATCTACAAGTGATCAGAGATGATACAATTGAGCATGACATCTTCAATATTATTACCCTCAATCTCTTGTATTTTTAATTCCAATAAACGGCAACGCATCATGATAGACTCCCAAACGGACATTTATCTAGAATAACGGGTGGCCCATAAAGAATGAGGGTCTCGGTATTTTCCGAATATCTCTGTCAATTCTCATCGCTTATTCGCGAACTCACTCTTAAAAGATGCGCAATTCAATTCTCTACAAAACTGGGAGAAAAGAACTCTTTCGACGGGTAGCTGGGTCATTCATATGTGGTCAACACTGCTTCGCTCCGAAAAGGTTCACTTTCAAGCGCACTTTCCTCATTTTCACAGATTTAAGTCGTTCTCTGATAACTTGTAGGAACGGCGAGTGCAGCATGTTGTAGCCTACGAGAAGCTCTATCATTCTAGGAGATTGTTTTTTCCATGGCATAGATATGTGCGTAGAAACAATTCGTTCATTTTTTTATGATTCTTACGTTTTAGATCGTTGACTTAGACGGATAGCAATCTGAATTTCGTCCCATTTCGGTAAAGTTGATACAAATCCGAATTTTCTGCCAAGTTGAAGGGAAATGTCCTGTTTATTATTGCAATACAAAAGATCGGTTGCAAAAATGTCTCTGCAATGTCTGACGCCTATTATAACAGTGAGAGGTATTCCCGGCTCGTTTTTCAAGGAGATTAGTCTTTAGAAATTCATGGTCTTATCCCACTATCTTCTTTTGAGTTCTGTTAGAAAGCGTACACATGAAAACATAGGAAACGTTACTTAGAGCAGCGTCGCATATCCCCCACCACGCAGAGGAGCAAAAGTTATGTGCGTGAAAAAGTGCGTTTGAAAGTGAACTTCCTCCGACCGTAATAGTGTTGCCCGGATATGGGCTGCCGGCTATCCGTTGAAAGAGTTCCTTTCCCTCAGTTTCGTAGAGAATTGAATTGCGCATCTTTTAAGAGTGAGTTCGCGAATAAGCGATGAGAATTGACAGAGATATTCGAAAAATACCGAGACCCTCATTCTTTATGGGCCACCCGTTAGTATCAGTGTTGATATTGTTAGAATCGAAGACAATCATCAACAAGAGAAGAAAAAAACAAAACAAAAACTAAACAATGTCAATATCCATATCATCGATGGTTGGATGTACTAAATTTGAACACCAGTTATGACGACTTGAACCATCGAACAATGCATTGGGATATTGATGTGTTAATCGACCGATCAAGTTCAAGTTCGTTTCGGCATGTGCACTGAATAATGACTCGATAAATTTCCGTAAATTGCGTGAACAATCCGCCGGCACTAAACACACACACAGAGAGACAATAGCGACAATGCCAATCGATATTCAATGAACAGATAATACATACGAACAGCAACAATGGCATAATTGTATAGATCGACCAAATCAGTTGGAAACACTCGAGCTTCTTTTCTTTCTCGGAAAAAATCGAATTGTTCTTGTTGTTGTCGAAGAGAAAATTCGTAGCCCGATGGTGGATGTGGAATATCACGAACGAATTGACGTGTCTCTTCTTTTGTTCGTGTCATATCAGCCACTACAGCTGCAAAAAACATCGGCTTGCCCGATGCTGTCACTGGTAATACTTGTGATGCCATTGTCGTATGTTTAGCCAGAACAGTGATATCAGCAAATGCACTCATTGTCGTTGCCGTCGTTGTTGGACGATTATTTTTGGCTTTCGAAGCCCAATAATTGACATTGTCCAATTTTATATTGCTAAGGTATTGTGGAACGAAACACCAATAGCTGGGATTTCGATCTAGAAAACGTTGTAATCCATGTGAACAACGTGCCGAATGTTGATACAATAATTGATCGTATGAATTAGTCAATGGTCTATGAATGAAGACAATACAATCATGTCATTAAAAATCCAGTTCAACTCACTCTATTTTTCGTTTATCTTGATTAAAAATCGATTTCATATTTGTTGGTCCAAGAAGAAATTCACGAATGATTCGATGGCCTTCTTCGCGATGTTCTATACAATTAATCACACGCTTCATTAGCAGTAAGAAAAGAAAATCGTACCAGATATGCGATCGATAAGTGATGTTGCTGTTGAACCAATATAATCAGCGTTACCACATGGGCACGTCAACGAATAGATAATATTGGTTGTCTCACACGTCTATAATAGAACATCATTTCAATAGACACAAAGAAGAATAATCAGTACTTACAGCTGGACAATTAAGAATGACTTGATAACCATTGATAAATCGATGTGTTTGTTTTTCGGAAAATTGAATGACACCGTTGGTAGATGATCTTCGGTCTCGTTTACATAAGAAACATCGACTACCACCACATGGCTTTGTACCATAACGAGCACATGGTTCTCGCTCACATAGAATACCTTCTCGTTGTTTTTGTTCACCAATAATTCGTGGTTGAGCATCTCGAAAGTCGCATGTTTTCATAAAGAATAGATCGACTAAAATGAACATTCATTCAAATACAATTTCATTGAACAATCATCGTTACCGTCAATCTGTAAATAAAATTCCAATGCTAATGGTAACTCATCGATCGATGCTGTAGCGGCTTCACCGACTTGTTTACTATATTTGTCCATACATGTATGTAGTCGAGTTAAATTGTAATCGATCAACGATAATTTCAATTTCCATCGACGATTCGCATCAATATACAATTTTTGATAAAAATCAATGAGAAACGAGGGGAGAAATTCATAATTTGGTTGAATTTCCATTTTGAATGGACAATATTCAAGATTGCCATGATCATTATCACCAGAATATGATAATACTTCCATTAAATCCCGATCGATGGTATTGACATTGGCTAGAAGTAATAATGCTGGTCGTGAATCATGTTGATGTGTTGGATAGGCCGGTAGTAATGAACGACGTCGTTGACTGGTAACACTGGATGATTTTAATGTCCGTGTTGGATATTCATGAATGGTCACTTGTTCCTTTGATACGGCACTTGCTGTTGTTGATTCCATCTAGAATAATAACAAAGTGACATAGCATTTAGAAAAGAAAAACAAAGAAAGACATGGTGATTATTTGTCTCGAGTCAACAACGTGTTCAATGAATGAAGATGTTTTGTAGTTAAACGAATTTTAGCCGAACCATTTGCAAACATTGGATAAGGATGAATATAACGAGTCCAGAGTTGTCGAAATTGTTCATTGAAACGACGTCGTGGACCCCATTCATACAGATAATGTAAATGAAATAATTGATGTTGATTTTGTTCTTTGTCGATGCGTCGGAATAGTTGATCACGAAATCGATCGTAGATAGTTTGATCGAGTACAGTTCGAAGCGATGGAATTTGAAAGTGAAGATAGAATAAGTTGAGATAATGTTCAATCACTTGTAATGGAAAACCATTGGCTAGATAAGTTAATTCAATGTAAAGACGTTCACGATCGAAATCATCTACATTCGAACAATATTGACCAGCACGAATTAATAATGATCGAAAATAATGTGAATAAATTAATCGTGTATGTCCTGACACGAACGGTAATACATAGGATTGTCTTGTCGGATCATGATACACTGATGTATACAGATGGCCATGTTGATTTTCAATTTGAATATTTAAGAATTGAATTGTTTGACCCACGGCACTGTCAAAACGCATATCGGGATGATGTTGATTTAAATTGGATAAAATTTCCTGAAGAATATCACTTGTACCATTGTATGTGAAGAAAGCCATCTGAGTAGAAGAAGAAGCAAACCGTCCATAGAATTCATTCTTCATGTATGGATGATTCAATAGATGGGATTGCCATTCCAGTAGAAATATATTTCCAAGTGTTTCCGTAAATAAGACACCCATTGGACAACCCTTTCGATATCGATACAGTTTGTGATTGTAATAAAACATTGTATGATTCAGGAACAGTTCAGTTAACGTTTGAATAGTAATAATCGATAACTTTTCCAATTGATTGCCGGCTAGATGTTTGGTTAGGAAAGGACCTAATGTGTCCAAAATATTGCCATGGGATAAGACCGAATAGAAATTTTGAATTTTAAATGTTGCGAATAATGTCGATGGCCAAAGTCTACCGCCTTTCAATTTGATAGACGCATCAAGTCGACGAATAAAATCAGCACCATTGACAATTGTAGTGGATCGACAGACACGAGTCACCAATGGTCGAAGTAAGCAGTTGAGAAACGTGGCTAATTGTTGAATTGGACTGTGTTTGTACGATATGAACGGTTGCACTGTAATTTGATTATTCTAAATAAAATAAATAGACGATCAATTTAAAAAAATTATTTTTCTTCGAAAGAATTACCCCGAGTAGTTGAGGTAGAAAATAGATGATGGGAAATGTTTGTTTCGATCGAGGACTGGTTAATTTCTTGAATTGTTCGTCGTTGATGTGTTTATCTTGATGCATTGTTTTCAATGTTGCATTCATTTCA